TAAGGTCCTTTCCAACCCAAAGCATTCTGTGATTCCCTGATAAACATCTCAGGCACAAAACAGCTCCGACAGCATCCACGGGGATGCCAGAAACACAGCTGGCACCTTCAGCAGGGTACCCAGCTCCCAGCTCCTGCTGCAAGGAGCCACAGGTCACAAACAGAGCAGCTCCAGCTTTACACAAAGGTGGTTTCGCTGCAACAAAAGCAAAGGCCACAGAAATAGGCTGATTTTTTTTTTTTTTTTACTTTTTTTCCTAAGATATGACTAAACTCCACAAGCAGGTAGTGCCTGGGCATCCTGCAAGCATCCTGCAAGCTGCGCTTTCAACACGAAGGAACAAAAGGCTGCGGTGGGGAGGAGAATGGTGGGAAACCTTACGGGCTCCCGAGATTCATTTGAGACCTGGTGTTTGCAGCACAGGCTGTATTTCATCTTTTTATAAGTAACTCTTACCAGGAAACGTTACAAAAAAGGGGGCATTTCAAGGCAGAAAAGTTGGTCGCCAAACGTCATTTCATTTTATTTTTTCTAAACCTTTTGTTAGCAACTCTTCTGGGGAGCAAATCCAGCAGAGGCAATACAGTGCAGCGTGCACTCCTAAATTAGTTTCCAGGCACTTGGGATGCTTTATTATTCATTTCCTCCAAATATTAGGTAATGCCTTTCACCCCTTTCAAAGTCTGTACGAGGGGTCTTTGATGCATTGTGGGACTTGAAAGTTTCGGGTCTAAAGAAGCATTTCTTTTAAGTCCTGGCTTTTATCAAGCATATTCTGTTCTGTTCGCTATAATGCACACAATGGCACGAGAGTCCTGACCTGCTTCATGTCTGATGAGTTGAAATCTCAGATGCATAGGATAAAACAGCCATTCCTAGCAATGCTGCTTAAACACTTAGGGCTCTATTCAGGCAAATATTACCCAGGGGTCTGCCACACCACTGAAAAGCTGCAGAAATTGGCTCCGCAGACRGCTGACCAATTCAGCAGTGAGAAATGACCCCGCCACATTAACTCCCCTTTTCATTTCACCCTGGGCGAGCTGAGGTCTGGAGGTAACCGCAGCAGAAGGCGAGAGCCGGCTGAAGCCAGATTCATTTTCTTTATATAAAGTATTTTTGTGTGCGTGTGTGACCATGAATGTCATTATGCGGATCTGCAAAAGAAGGAAAGTAATGACATTAGGGCACAGGCACAGGAATCAGGGAGGGTTTTGTCTTACGGTGACACCGCAGCGCTGTCACATCTCCTGGACAAGCAGAATTTGTAGGCTTTAAAACACTGCAAAATGTCTCAGAAAGGCAGGTCTCTGCCTCTGCTGATGGTTTGTGGACTTTGCTGGGTCACTTTACACCATCCAGGACTGGTCTCCTCCCTGTGTTGAYCAGAATTAACAACTCTGGTTCCTCAATAATCTACCCTGTTCTAATTTTCCGTGTCTACAGGATTTTCTGTTCTTCCTCTGTACACTGCAAGCTCACTAGTTTAGAGACAGCTCCTGTACAACAATATGCTGGCCCCACAGCAGGGATGCAAACTGAAACTTATTATTGCAAAAGCAAACACATTCGGTACAAAATGCCATGTTTTCATCCTGCAGACAATTGCATTGACATGTTTTTACGGAAGTGCCAGGTGGCTATTTTAGGATATTAATCTCTTCTTATCAATCTATTCTTGACAGGTTAGAACTAGGAAACATTTTTTTAAGGGCAATCCTGAAATGCAGGGGTAAAACTTAATGGATGGGCAGGAGAGCTCCTAAATGGGCTGAAGCTGCTGGAATTTGCTTTGCATGTTTTATACTTCAGGAACAAAAGATGCCACTAGAACAAGTCAGAAAACAACTGTTCAGACTATACGGGAAGATGTTTATGAAAGAGACAGGTCCTGCTTTTATGACTCTCCTTGCCTGCCCCAGTGCTACACCTTGGAATGCCCTGCAACCCCATCCTGACTGCCTGAGACCAGCCTTGATAACCACAACATTTCACTGTGAAAACAATCTCTTAAGCTATATAAAGAGGAAGAAGTTCATTTTGCATGATTAAAACCCAGCAGGGTCTTTCCTGATAGTGACAAAACATCTACCAGAATCTCCAATGCCTGTAAAAACGGGAATATTTGCATCTGGCCCTGGTGTGTCTGATTTCATGATTAGCTCTATAAGCAAACCAGATCCACAAGGATAAAATCTCCCAAACGCTTCAGACCCACAGAGRTGAATACAAGCCTGATTTCTGAAGGATGCTGAGCACCTCTCCCATAGCTGGCATGGCAGTAGCAGCAACAGGTACAAAAGATAAAATGATTAAGACTGGACAGGGCTTTGAGCAGCCTGGTCAAGTTAAAGAATGTCCCTGCTTATTGCAGCAGGGTTGGACATGACATCTTTTAAATGTCTCTTCCAACCCCAACTATTTTTCTGTTCTATTCTGTTCTATTCTGTTCTATTCTATTCTATTCTATTCTATTCTATTCTATTCTATTCTATTCTATTCTATTCTATTCTATTCTATTCTATTCTATTCTTTCTCAGCTCTCATGCTACCAGCCTGGCTAGGAGGTTTTTTAGGAACTCTCTTAAGCATCCTTGTTAAAATATTACCAGGACACACATTTTGTGCTCCCCATGTGAGTGTGCAGTGCTGGTCTGCCGCAGGGCAGCTGACAAGTCATCTCTGTGTGTCCTACAAATCCTCTGAACTGATATGGAAACACCAACAGCACAATGATTTATGAATTTGCAGGTGGAAATCCTTTCAATTGACACAATTGAGGTAAATGAAGAGTTTTTGCTTGGGGACCCCATCAGGAGCAGAGGCAGCACAAGGATRGGACCCATCACTCACCAGCCAGCAGGAAGATGTTGTTAGGAGTGTCTGCACAAATTTTGAAGGAGCCTGGAACAGCTCCTTTGAGAAAGGGAGACAGAAGAAAAGAAGCAAAACCRCAGGAGAAAAGGAATTTGTTTGTAAACTCCCGGCAGAATTGACTCGAGGCTGCTGGAGCAGAAGCACTGAGATGACAATGGAGCCTGATGGATAGTTCACAGGATTATTWGATACCCTCCAACTCAAATATGCTGAGGAGCCAATTATTTAATGGTAAAGACAGCACAAAKGAGTGTTTAATAAGCTGGATCACTTGAGGATTGCTGGAGCTCAAGGGGCCAAACCCCCRCTGGTGTAAGCCAGGAAAGGCAGCACGTTGAAACACTCGGTGCTTCAGACACGCACTGGCACTCCAGTCATCACCATCCCTGCCAGGAGACCGCGGGGCATGGAGAGGAAACACAGCTGGAATTTGGGAACAGATGGGTGCAAGAGGTCCCTGCTGGGGTGGGGAAGCACGCTCACCACCCAGGATGCAGATGGCACTCAGCTCCGCAGCCAGCAGCCTTCCTGGCTGCCCTGCTTACAGGAGAAGGAGCTGCTGCTCACAGGAAGATAGGCTGGGTTCATTTTCTAGCTGATTGCAAAGAGGCTGCAGGGGAGCAGTAGGAAGTGTGGGAGCCAGAGAGGAGTTTGGTCACTGCTCCAGGCACTGATCAGAACCTATTTTGGAGTCAGGGATGATTCCTGTGAACAAAGARTCCCTTCTCAGGCTCTTCTGCAGGCAGGGGTGTTGGAGGACAGCAGGGTCTCAGCACCCTCCCTCGTCAGGAGGTGACCCTGCAGACACACCACCCCCTCACCTGGGCTGCTTCACCTGGACAGGCTTCTGCTCATCCTCGAGTGCTGCCCAAACTGGAGCAGATGCAATGTGGGATAAAAACATTTGCACTAACTGGATGGTCCCCATGCTTTTAAATGCCTCAAGATTGCTTCCTGAAACCACATTGTGTCAGCTTCTCCCTTCAACCACATTCAAACTGTGCTACAGGAGCTGAGGTGTGTCGTAAAAAGCTGCATCTCCCCATGATCCAACCTCCACCAGCACTGCTCCTGTAGTCYAGGCTACAGCAGCGATGCAAGAAYAGATGTAAGAAAGAAATTCTTTGTGATGAGGATGGGGAGGCCCTGGCACAGGTTACCCCAGCCCTGGAAGTGTCCCAGGCCAGGTTGGAGAGGGTTTGGAGCACCMTGGRGCAGTGGAAGATGTCCCTGCCCATGGCAGGGGTGGCACTGGATGAGCTTTAAAGGTGCATCCCAACMCAAACCACAGTTCTACAATTCCATGATTGCTCAGCACTGAGATGCTCCTCAGCATCCATCACACATCACAGAGGAAAATTGTGGGAATTTGGTCCCTGTGGGACAGAAACCCTGGGGGACTCATGGCATAGTCCCGCTGAGGGTTTGGCCAGTGCCAAACTGGGAAGCTGCTCACGAGACAATGGCAAAGAAAACACCAGCCTCCCTCAAGACTCAACAAGAAATATCTCAGTTCAAAAGCATCACCCAGGGTCTGGCTCTGGCATATCTGAACCAGCTCAGATGATAAAAAACAAAGGATTCTCCTTTCTTCCTGTACAAGACCTCTAGGCARGCATCCAAGCCGCAGCCTCCTGCGTGACAGCTGCAGAAAACAGGTCTGGAGAGGACCTTGAAATGCCACCCAGATCGCAGCCCCGTGACTGGCTCTGGACGGGGCCAAGCACAACAACAGCCAAAAGCACTCCAAGCATTAACAAATATTGCTGCTTGGTGCACTCCTGCGCATCTGCCAGCGTATCTGCCGCCCGCTCCTCGCAGCACTCAGCACGGAGAACACGCATATTGATGAGAGCATCTTCCACGGGCTTACAGGAACTGCAAWTAGAGGCTGGGTCGCTGACAGCAGYACAGAATYGTGGTGGTGGTGGTGGTGGTAAAGATGATTTGTGCTGATCCATTAACACGACAAACTACCTCCTCTCCCGCAGGAAATCTCAATAGCTGATGGGCGGATCAGAACCCCAAGATTCCAGAAAGCATCCGGACAACCACAACGTGCTCCCCAGGCTGCATTCTGCTCAACAGCTCTCCCCTCAAAGCTCGCCCCGCTGTGTACTCACCAGTACCCTTGGTTTTGTTTCAAAATGGTGATGCTCCTTTCACTCCTCTGACCATTTCCTAAGGGAAAGCAGAGAGGAGAAAAAACAAAACAAAAYCCCTCATCAGATCASACCCAGGACTGATTATGTGGTTAAGAAGGGCCAGCTCTGGAGAAAGCTCTGTCGGGACGATGAGAAAACAGAGCCAGGCCCACTCCCACTCTCCCACCACGGGTGTTTCCACGGTCAGTTCATCTGCTCCTCACCCTTCCCCGTATCACAACATCACCTAGCAACACCGAGCCATGGAGGTGCGAGCCCACCCCGTCCTCCCACTGTATCACATCTCCAGTGACAGCTGGGAGATGAACGCTCCAGGAGCAGCTTCGGGCTGCTTCCCCCATCCCACCCCACAGCTGAACATTACACTTGGTCCCCTCGGGAGTATCAGCTTCCCTGGGCTTCCTAYACCCACAGCTCAGTTGCCAGGGGTAGCTCAGCGGTACCTGCAGTGGTACCTGTGACAAATCCCAAATTCCACAGGTGCTGGGGTGCAGAGAGGGGAGGTGTGTGACCAGCATCCCCCCAGCTCTGCCCATAAAAGTCTCCTGCCCCTCTGAGCTTGGCAAAACCTTTTGGAGAAACGGAGCTCTAGTGAAGCTGCTGGCCACCACCCACACTTGCAGACGATGGAGGCAGCAAGATTGCTTTTCCAGAAGCTGACACCTCCACGTGGGAGGCCCAGCAGCTTGGCTGGAGGTGGGCGGGATGCAGGGCTGATGAAGGAGATCAGCAGGAGGATCTTTTGGGGCACTTTACTCYATTTCAGAACCATCTCAAGGTGTGAGTGATACCCCCACCAGCAGGCAGCCATCGCTTTACATTCAGCTTACATCATTTACATCATTTTACAGCCAGCTCTCACACTAYCAACCTGGCTAGGAGGCTTTTTAGGAGCCCTCCTAGGCATCGTTATTAAAATACCATCAGGACACACATGGTTTGTGCCCTTCATGTGAGTGGAGGGCAGCTGACAAGTCACCCTAAAAATCCTCTGAGCTGMTAAGGAAACTCCAACAATGCAAGGATTTGTCAGTTTGCAGATGGAAAACCCTATAGGATCCTGAGTCCCCTCAATACAGCCTGGCACCCGGCACCAGGGGCTGGCACCACGCTTCTCTTGAGCAGTGCTGGGCTTTATCTGTAGCCTCCAGCTGAAGTCTCCTTCTCCCCACAGGTCCTTCCCTGCAGCTGCTCCCCAGAGCAGCACCTTGTTGCACACAGGTGGGGTTGGTGTCTCCTCACAAGAGATAGGACAAGAGAGAATGGCCTCAAGTTGAGCTGGGGCAGGTTTAGACTGGACATGAGGAGAGACTTCTTCACAGWATGAATTGTCCAGCCCTGGCACAGCTGCCCAGGGCAGTGGCCCAGTCCCCATCCCCATGGGATTTTAAAGCCATGTGGATGTGGYGTTTGGGGACATGGGTCAGTGGTGGCCTTGGCAGAGCTGGGGGCATGACTGGATTTAACAGTCTTAGAGGGCTTTTCCAATCTAAATAATTTTGTGATTCTACGATTCCACCTAAAACCCATTCCAATCACTGTTTGAGGCACATAAGAACTCTCATGGGGCAGTAACAGGGAATTTCTGGGTTAAGGAAAAGCTGCACCTCAATCACAGTTTCATTAACCTTCCAAGAAGAGTGGCTGTGAACAAACATGCTCCTGATCCACCCTCTGAACCAGAAGATGCCCTGGTGCCCTTGTAGCAGTTTCTAAAATAGGATGGACATTGCTGAGAGCAGCCCAGGCTTCATTCCCCCGCTCCCAAAACACACTTGCGATGAGAAGCTACAAACCAACCAGGCCTGCCTGTGGCTTCCCCTCAGCCACAAGGTCCCTTTTAGCTCCTTGGGGTGGTTGGAAGAATGAATGGAACACACCCTCCTGCAGATGACACTCAGGTTTCTAAATTACCCTCCCTGAACACATCGCTGATGTGCCACGTCAGCTCGCTTGGCGGGGCTGCCCCTCTCACCAYGTGTCTCCAGCAGTGGAGATTCAGCACAGACCTCCCCCGGGCCTGGCTGGGCTGAGCTGCTGGGCTGGGAAAGATGATTTCCAAATAAACTGGTCATGGGGAATGCCTGTCCTGCCCTTGAGGTCAAGCCCACAYGCAGAAACAGCCTGTATCACAGAATAGTTCAGGTTGTCTGTCTATTTCAACTTCCCTGCCATGAGCAGGGACATCTTCAACTAGACCAGGTGGCTCAGAACCCTGCCCAGCCTGACTATGAATGTTTCCAGGCATGTTTTGGGGCATTCAATKTTTCCTTGAATGTTTCAGGGCATCCACAGCTTCTCTGGGCARCCTGTGCCAGCATTTCACCACACTCACTGTAAAAAAAACTTCTTCCTAACTGCTGATCTAAACTTATCCTCCTTCAGTTTAAAATCACCACCCCTTGTCCTATTGCAACASACCATGKTAAGAAGTTTSTCCCTGTCWTCCYTTAGGCCCCAAAAGGGGCTCTGAGCTCTCCCTGGAGCCTTCTCTTGWCCAGGTGAGCAMCCCCAGCTCTCCCAGCCTGGCTCCAGAGCAGAGGGGCTCCAGCCCTGGCAGCATCCCTGGACTCTCTCCAGCAGGTCCRYGTCCATGCTGAGGACCACCAGGGCYCTCTCCAGGGTGTCCACACTGGGAACTGCCCTGCACTCAACAAAGCAGGCACTCACACATTTCCAGTGGATTCCCAAGGCTGCCRTCCATGCTCTAGCCCTGACCAGCCAGCAGCTGGAATTCAGCTCACCCAAARCACAGGACTGCCCTGGACTGACAGCCAGCAGCATGGGCCATGGGAGTCACCTCCCTGYCACCAGGGGGTGACCCCAGGGACAGCCTGATAAACCTGCGCCAGTCCCAGGCACACCGGGTGGGATTCAGCTGCAATTAAAGCATCTCAGCTGGGCTGCCCCCAWGCAGCTCCTGGCTTTAGTTGCCTTCAAACAGGTTCTCATTGCCACGCTGGGCTCCCCAAGCTATCCCAGACCCATGCCTGGCTTGGCCAGACAAAACCCTGGACCTGTGTCCCTCCTGACCGACAGCAATATGTCCGAGGGTAAAAGTGGACACCTCTGTCCAGCAGCTGAACTGTGACCCACACATGTGGTGGCTGCTCCAGCTCTTTCTGCAGCTCACAGGAATGCAGTTGGCATGATTTTGGCTGCTTGGTGATACATTTTGTTACTTAAACTTCAGTATCTGTTTTGGGGTATGAAACATCCTCCARACTCTGCTGACTCTAAAAGGAGAATGGGCACCAAGTTAATATTTTTATCTTCCATTGCAGCCCACCTCCAGGTCCTGGTCTAAGTTTCAACAGCTCAAAAAAGACCCCATTTGCATGGGATGGGGATGCCCTGCAGCTCTGCACTCTCATGCCCCGCTGTGATGAGCAGCTCAATTCTGGCACATCCACATCTCCAGGATGGTTCCAGGGCTCATGTGCCTCCTGCATAATAGGATWGAAACAAACAAATTTGACAAAGAAAGGAGAAAGGACAACTGACGTGCAAATCCATGTTTTAAATCATTCACCAAATTTGTTCTGCAGTTTTGAAATAATCTTGGAGGTTGCTTCCCAAGTGCTGTTTGCAAACCCTCTCTTAATCTGGGAAGCAGATGCTGCTACAGTAGGCTGTATTACAGCATCTTCAATAAATCCCCATCAAATAAGGCTTTAAAATGCCCAGGACTTCTTCAATCAGTTGTTTTTAAATCTTCTTGGCATATCTGAAAACCACATCATAAAAAAACCCCTTTGCTGTGATTCAGCTGTAGCAAATGAGTCTAAGGGGAAAGAGCTCATCTCACACCTCCGTCCATGCCCAGGTAACCCCMAAATTCTTCCTGCCCATTTCCTTCACATGGTCTGAAGAATCTTTGAGTCTATTTCTGAGGTTCGCTGAGAGCCTGTGTTACCTCAAACAGGGCAGTGCCCCGGAGGTGCCCTCTGGAGTCACAGGAATCAAATCACCCACGACCTGGCAGAAAATCCTAAACGGAAAACATACCCTGAAAGGGCACTTCTACCATGCCCTGGCACACGTGGACATTTCACTGCTTAGGAGAGTGTTTGGGATGCTTACTGCTGAGTTGGGTTTTTTTGGTTTTTGGTTGGTTTTTTTTTT